GGTACCGATATAAGTTAAGTGCGCATCTAATAGTTATAAACTTATAAATTATAGTAATTCATTTTATTAGTTATCTCAAAACTTAAAATATATGAAAAATCGTATAAATGTATTGCTATATACATTGTTCTCGTCTAATTACATAATTTAGACGATCAATATCGAACAATTAATTGATATTGCATTGCCCACCTTAACAATATAATATGCATTAATTGTTAGTAAAATATGTTTTTAGATTTTTGACAGTTAACTTTTTTCTCTTTAAGTAGGTACTGAATAATATATATTTAAAATTGCATTATATGATATAACATATTGTATCATTATTGTATACCAACTTATTGCACCTATACGAGTGATCATCAGATACCTGTGTTCGAAAAATGGATCAGATCTCCACCATTTTTGTAACACAGAATTCTCTTATCAGCACGTACCTTAATCATACCAATAAAGTATTTAAGAATGTACAATAATGTATAATGTACGCATATACTATAGATTGTAATATAATATATAGGATATATTAAAATAGAAATATAGATATATACAATAGGACCAATAGGTACCTACTACATTATAAATACATTAATATCGTTTATTTTCAAATAAGTATAAGAAAACTTATTTAAATATAGGATAACTAAAATCTCAAAGTAGCCCTTGTTATCAGTAATTATGTATTTTTTAACTTTGTATTTATTAATATAAATAGGTCAAATGTTGATTAGATAAGTTAAGACATAAACCAATAAGAATTTTAATATAATTATTGTACTTATAATCAAATAATGGGCACTGACCATTAGGCATTCCAGTAAATTGTTCAGACTGAATCATGTACCTATATTACCTAGGTATAATAACATAGTATAATGATAATAATAATAATAACTTACATTGAGAATAAACTGAATAAGCTATTTATAATATTTGATCTTTAAAAATAACTATAGTACCTATTTACATTTATTGATTATTTGTAGTACCTATCTGAGACCCTAAATTTGTACGTAAGATTATCCAAGCATATGTGCCTATATGAATTTCTTAAATTTTAATTTTAATTTATAATGCATAGGGGTTTGAATAGATCAATACTTTTTGAATTTACTATTCTAATCAAAAATGGAAAGCGGTTATGAGTTATCCTGATGAAACTCCTCTCGCTAGTTGTGAATTACGCGGACGATAAATACTGATGTAGTGTTTTGGTATGACGTCGGGACACATTAAGTCACAATCGGTAAACATCAATACAGCATTCTGCTATTGCGCAGAAGTTTATCAGTGTAAAATTTAATACCTGCATAACGACAAACAACCGCAAGACGTATTATAAATATTTATAATAAAATCCATCACACTCTTCTTTGAAGCCTATATAATACCTATTGCCTAGGTAGAATTAAACCGACCAAAAAATGTTTTTTGTAAAAAATACTTCAGCCAAAAAAAAATCTATTTTATCTTAGCTTCAGTAGTAGGTGGTAGGAAAGGAAGAAAATCGAAGATCATATTGGATCCTTAAAAATAGAAATTACAATTCATCAAGAATCGAACAACACGACGTAGGATATAAAATCGAGATGCACAAATAAACTTTTTCATTGCAAAATATAAATACACGAAAAGAAAAAGTAATAAAGTAAATAAATATTCCATTTATATCAAAAATTGTCCGAGAATCTTGACAAATTGAACGTTGGGAAATCTATGGTCACTGGCGCAATCGTGGATTAGTATTACTTTTCATGGAGAACTTTTGCAAAGAATTCTTTAACTTAATACAATAAGAATATTACTGTGAAGATTTATCTATCGGTAACACGTTACATATAATCTATTTTAATTTTAATTCTCGATAAATTATACCCAGTTTATCAAATCTTAATTATAATAATTAGGTACCTATTATTCTATTATATTATATGCGTTGCTTCGCAGCCTTGTAGTTGAGTAAACATCACCCATTTATATCACTACAATAGTAGGTATGGTATACATGCGCTCTTATGTGGTGTTTTAGATTTTTCTCTTCTCCTCGTATTTTTAATTCAATTTAATTATTTAACTATAGTACTGGGTTCAATGTACCTATTTTATAGTATCGTATATATTACCTACCGTTATTCTTGCATTATTTTTTAGTTTAAATACAAGAAAATGAAAATAATACACAAAAACAATATTAATATAACGAGAGTAAATTACCATTTAGTTCTTACAAAGTTGTGCATAGTTGATTAGTAGAATATAATTAATGTTTACAGTACATCCAGGTGATAACACTGTATCTATTGGTGTATTAGAAGTGTTAAAAGCAAAAATTCCCACAGTTACAAATTGAAAAATAAATAATAGTGTAATATTATACATATTTTAAATTTAAATTGCATTGTATTAGGTATTGTAAATTTATAAAATATTGGTTATTCATAGTACCTGTATTTTCTGATATCAAAGTTAATATTCATAATTCATTTAAACTAATAACCAAATGTGTAATATTATGTATCCATGACTCTACATGTATCTATATTCTATACTGTTAATAATGATCATATCAACATCGGGCGAATGCAATGTTATATATGTATTATTATATTATAACAATAATACCACCTAGTTGCGCATCTACCTAACTACTTTTTACTTAATAACTGATACCTAATGTATAGGTAGTTAATTATATTTACCTACTAATTCTTATACACCTAAACAATAATAGTCAATATTAATTTAATACATAAATCGTACAATGTATTAGATAGGTACATTATGTTAGAGTAAACCAATTTTTAATAGAAATGAAATAACTAAAATGGTGAATGATTTAGATTTTAGGCATTTGGTATTTTCAAGATTCTTGAACAATGATCAGAAATCGATTAAGTGGTTATTTAGTATATATTGTGTTATAATCATTACACTTTGAAGCAACCTCTTGGTATTATTAGTGTAATACTGTAAAGCCGTATAGGGAAAATAATTTACTTACCAAATTACGAGTATACTTAATTTTAATTATTTTTAAGAGCAAAACATAATATTATCAATAGGTAGTTACATATTAGTTATTACTAAGTTGTAATATTGACAGATTTTTTCAATTTATATTTTTTAAAAAAATTCAAAGATTTTTATTTTACTTGAGTTATAAAAATAGATTTATTTAAAGTATATATTTTTGTACTAGCAAGCAACTCATGGTGATTAGAATTATATCCATCAATGCTTAAGATTTAGTCATATTTAAAAGATGGATGGTAGGCAATAACCAATTATAGGTATTTTTAGGGCTAGGGGTGGTGAACATAATATATATAGGTATTAATATAAGATACTAAAACAGATTTAAGGCAATTAAAGTTTCGGGACCACACGAAGCACCAAGAAAGTTCATTAAAGAATTAATAGTCAAATTCTAAATGAAGAAAGCAAAATTATACACGGCTTTTAAATTGTATGCACCTATATGTATATAAGTATAATTAAGTTATAATAAGGTCTCTGTTATTTATATTACCTATAGAATCTATGATTATTGATTGAAGCAAATAATTAATGATAATAATTTTAATTTGTTATCTATATATTTATATAATTTATTAATAACCGTAGTAATAATCATAGTATATTTTCAAGGGCATTTCTAGAAAAGGGCAAGCAAGAACAGTTTTCGTTCTCGTTAACATTATACTGTTAATATGACCTTCCATAATTTTATATATTCATTAATGTTAAAACAAATGCGTATAAACATAACCGTAATATGTACATTTATACATTTTAAACAATTTTAATCAAAGAAAACTACTTAATTATAATGTATTGTCCTTTCATCGGAAAATGTATAAAGAGAGCCTTGAAAAGCTGTTTTTAATTAGTATCGACATACCTAAATGAAAAATAATGGAACTAAATAATTTTTAAAAATGTCTAGGTCTAATAATATAGTAACGAAACGAATAAAATAGAAATGCACTCAAAAATGTTCCCTGCTTTTTACTTTATTCAATTAGTTTTTATATTTAAGTACTACTTCAATGAATTAAATTTTAACTTTTGGACAATAATAAAATATTTATTATAATATCTATAATTTAATTAATGAATAGGTAACCTATTTATATTTATCATAAAATATTTTTAATTAAAAGAGGTACAATTATATTTTATTTAAATTTTTAATTTTACGATATGTCAAGCAATATATTTATATATAATTAATATTATATAATAAATAGTTTAAATTTGGTATATTAAATTTTTGCAGCAATGGCACCGTCCTAAATGCTTTCCATTATTGTACATGACAATAGTATACATTATACTAAGAAGTTTGATAATATAAATAAATCTAATAATCTCTATACCCTAGCTATACCTACATATTATATTGAAATAATTTAAGATTTTATGTACAATAAAGTATTATGGTAATATGTTTATATTAGGTCAAAACCCTTTCATCAACGGAAAATAAATATTTAATAATACGCGTAAAAGCTTTTACGTATCGCAGCAAGAAACAAATATGAAATATAATTTTTATTAGGTACTATATAGGTAATATTTTAATTTATTTCAATTAAAATATGTTAATGAACTTTAAAAGTATTAAAAATTAACTTATACGATAATTCAAAAAATAAATAAAAACAAAATGCACACCTGACACCTGTTGACCGTTCGAAGGATAACGTGCCGGATAACAAACTAATAAGAAAAATTAAATTACCGGGCTTGTTGGTCGTCTGTGACCTATATAACCTCAAAACTCGTTCACCTTGCACAACCTTGCAGCTGTGCGAATGTGCCCGATACTGATCCTGCGCAGTGCACGCTCGTGATAATAGCACGTCAATAATACGATTACAGAAATATTATTATTTATTTATTTAATGCGACTCGTATGATATTTCCAACGAAAGTTAATGGTATTTTTTAGTATTTTTATCATATTTATTGAAGCTAAATGTGTAGGTACTTACATTATATATATCGATAGAGTTCTTCCTATTATGTGTGAACCAGTACGAAAGACGTCCGTCCACTAATCGAAACCAATGCCTAGTGAACCTTCTACAAAATGTATATGTGTGTACTAATATAAAACGATAACGTTCGTTTAATAATTTTAATATTCTATTCCACTACATGTTTACAATATAGCCGCTGATAACCGTGTAAGATGTTAAATACTATATAGTACATTACGACAATGACATCACAATCCCCCTCCGTGCATTAAACAATATAAACAGGACCCAAGGTGTTAGCTGTACAATTAAGTACTAACTATTGTAGTCGGCAGACTTTTGAACTGTGCTGCTATCTAACAGATAATATTTTCCCGAAAAACTTTTTGAACTTTCATCTACCCAGGTAGTTGGAAGCCGGTTCCGCCCGGAGCATGATCATCAATAATTAATCATAATTATAATTATTAGTATTCCACAATATACAGTATGTCCCAAAAGTCCCGTAAATAACTATGTTCTTAGTCAAAAGATTATTATTGTGTTTCTTCATTAGAAATATAATTTTTTTTTTAAATTCGTAGGTACTTTTTTAATCGAATTTTATTATTGATTTCTGTTGAAAATTCTAGCTCATTTAAATAGTAATTACCTTTTTTTATATTGATTTACCAGGAAAATACTATAGGATGATGTGAAACTTTTGTGACATACAACTGCAGTGGCGTAATTAAGGGGGAAGATTTGGGTGTTTTGACTTTTTTTTTAAACTGGCAAACCAAATTTCAGCATAGGCGTAACTGGAGTGAGGGGGCTAAGCCCCCTAACTTTTATTTTATTCCCCCCGTCGTAATTCCTATTTTCCCACCAACGGTAGCTACATTAATACATTTTAATTTAAAATATCGTTTTATTTTTTTTATTTAAACTATAATATCATTCGTATATGATGAGTTTATATAGCTGTCTATAAAGTAAACCCAAAAAAAGTCTTCACCTAAGAGAATACTCATGATTTTATTTTTTTAACACAAATGTATAAACTAAAACGGTGATAACGACTAACGAGTAACGATGACCGGACGACGATCGCTGCTCCAGTCGGTTGCTTATATAGGGGTCTTTTGCAGTTTTGCTGAAGACTGAATTGGATTCTATATTATCTTATCATATTATCATTTATCATCGTCCTTTGGTCTTCCTAAGTATAATGGTTGTGTCTGATAGTTAGTGTTCTTGTTAACATATTTATTACATATACCTAGTACATTATTATAATAATAAATTAGTCAAATTTTGTTTTCTTATGTTTTCAGGCTTTAATAAATATAAAATAAATGAAACTGAATAAAAATCAGAAATGTTTATTAGATAATCAATTGTTTAACATTTCATTTATTTATCTTTTACAGTTTAAAGAGGCTATAAAGAGTATTGATCAAAAATCGATCTTTCCAAATTTTTTTTGGTTAACTTTGTATTTCACAACAATGATGTAATTAGAATTTGTCAGTCGGACTTAGTTCCAAAGTGATAACTCATAACTATTTGAAAATGCAAGAGCATTTATACATGAGGTACCTCGTACCTATAAATCACAATGGTCACTGAGATGTACTTATGACAGTAGAGACATTTGTCACCCCTCCCTTTCGGACTGTTTTTCTTCATAGTTTTCACTGTTTAGTGTTTTAGGTCAATGGTCATAATACGGCTATAGGCTTTTAATTCGATTATTATATCGATTCGTCAGTGTCTTATAAATTAATTACCTTGATTGAAGTGGATGACTGCGTGTGCACTTTAAAATTATTTATTAGAAATGATCGCTGATTCGATTGTACCTAAGCTGACGGCTACTCGCGGTATTGATTGCAGTATGTATTGGCGGTATTGACTGCAGTAGGTATTGGTTATATTGAGTATTGACTAATGATTCAACGATTTTTCTATTTCTACCAATGTTATTGGAGAATATTTTCTATTCGATGTGTTCGAAGAAAAAGTTTCATATCCAATACATACATAGTAATACCACAATGGAATCAAATTTATAAATTATACTAAGAATACGAATTCAAATCGTTTTATTATGACAAATATTTACAACTTTACTGTCTTTACTAATAATACAACCTGTTTAAAAAAATATTTGTGGAGTACTAGATAACGTGGTAAATGGTAATTAAATTTTTTTTGATAGGAGGATTTGGGAATTAATTATGAGGTTATTTAATTCACAAAAATATACATCTAGGTATCTAAAAAACCATAATACCTATTAAGAATGGGTAGGTATATAAGCAGTGGATTCATTAAAGTGTCAATCCAATATTTTGAGAAGTTTCTACTTTTTTGAATGACTAAGTATATTTTTTATTTCACATTTCGAAGCAAGATATTTTTCTGTATATTTCGATACAATCGATACATACAAATCGCATTTTAAACGAATAAGTAGATAATTAATCTTTCTAATTAATCTCACTTTTTCGTTCGTCGAATATTTAAATACTTAATTATAACTTATCCGTATCAGTTATAATTAAGTATTTAAATATTCGACGAACGAAAAAGTGGTACCACAAATGTTAGTCCACTGCACTCCGTTCATCGATACGTTTAACACTTAAAATTAATAATTGGTTCAAAATTAGATTTTTATCTAGTAGGTTACTAGGTAGGTAAATACTTCAAAACTATTCTGCATAGTCAGCAGTTATGGAATGTGAAATATATGTTATTTTTTAATGTTAAGAGTTATGACTTATGATTATACATTGTTATGTACATATACTTCACATTTTGTTTTATTGTTTTGTAGATGGAATTTTTTTGATTTTTTCCGTCGATAAAGAAATAGTAATAAAATTCATTCCATAAAGTAAAATGTTTAACTATTATAATTTATAACGATTAAAAAATGTAAAAATATATTTTTTTCAAAACTGTTATTTTGCAACGACGTACAATTATGTAAGGATAATATTTTCTAAAAGTTAAACTACGAAACAATGAGTTTGTCTATTCAAATGGATTACCATTTACCTTGCATACCTGCGTCTTGTAAATGTGTGTAACGAAATTGTTTGTCCTCTCTCCTTAAAAATGTCTGCGGACGCCCTTGGTCAAGAGTTTAAGTTGTATAACTTGAAATATCTCACTTAAACATTTCTTATTTGTTTTCATAGGTTATGTTATTTGTATATTTTGACATTAACATGACTATAATTGTATGCTTTGTTAAGTTAAAATAAAAGAACGTTAAAACTGCGTTTTTATTCGGCAAAAGTATAAGGTACTTAGACTGCGAAGGTACGTACTTATTACTCGTATTTTTGTATACTTGTACACACCGTAACAAAATATATCAATATCAAAGTATCTGTTTATACACCACAGGAGTGTAGGTGAGGGATATGGAGGTAAGATCCCCCGTGACTTTTCTTTTATAAAATGTTTTGAAATATTGTTTTATAGAAAAAGGTTAAAAAATTAATTGTTGTTCGAAAATCCTAAAAAAAAATTAGTTAACTACATGGCTATAACATTAGCAGGTACTGATTTTTTATCCAGATTATTATAAATACCTCAAGACAGCTAAATATTGTAGCACGTACATATGTTAGGTTTTTTTCTAATGACCCTTACCACCACAAGAACCATAAAACTATATACAAGACAGTTGTTTAATTGTTATATGTACACTATTCACCACACTGAGTATGCTCTATATTTGGTAAGTATTACATATTATGAAACGATTTAAGATATATCATATATCCTAAATCAATATAACCTTTAGGCTTCAATGGACATATAAGTATACTATATAATGTCTAGTTCTTGTACCTTTTTTTATTTTTATTGCTCATCAACTTCTTATTTACAATCATAATGATAGGGCAAAGTAAATGTCATTAAAGATTAAAATGTACTCGATAACCATTGATCCACAATAAAGTTTTTTTATTATTAGTTTTAATTTATAAACATGCGTATAATTTAAGTGTTTATTATTTGTATATTTAATGTTATGAAAGATTGTGATTTAATGTAGTAGTATTTAGTAGGTATAACTTACTTACAAGTTACAAGAAATAAATATCACTTATAGATTAGGTACTATAGAGTATAGATATATATATTGGTACATCGTATTTTGTGCAAAATGGGTTAATGGTTCCACTAAAAATTAGGTAGGTATACTTGTATATTTGTTTTTAAACTAAGCCATTTTTTTTTTTTTTAATGGACTTCTCTATAAACCAAAAAAATAAAACTACAGTAAATCTATAAAAACATTAAAAACACAGCAATTTATTGCAATAAAACAAAGATAGATCACTAGATTAGTCAAAAGTGAAAATACACAAAGAATGTATAAGCTAATAACAGATGCATTATAAGCACCATTGAGTACAAATTACAGAATTACATAAACATACTTAACTATATTACCTATTATTATTCTAAAATATTAAAAATGTTTATGTGTTAAATTATAATAAATTAATACAACGCAAAATATTGACTTAGGTCAATAAAATTCATAATAGTTCTTTAATTGTTTCAACTTTCGAGCGATGATTCACTAAAAATATAAAATTATATTATAATGTATAACAATAGTGTAACTGTAATATATTATTTTAATTATTACCTATGTAGTCAATTGTAACTAGGAAAATTTAACTATGATGAATTTCAATATCAACTCTTTGGGTCGTGAATTGTGAACACGTGGACATACACTACGGTTGTGGGTAGGTACACGCATTGATTTACGAGATTACGTTTGTGACGGCACGACTAAAATCCTATGGAGTATGGAATAATATGATGACAGTAGCCAGTATAGGCATACCTACATCAAAATAAGTTTTATAAAATCAATGACAATATACTATTGTATGTACTCGTTGACGTTCGTTTTTTAAATATTTTCAAAAATCTAATTTAACCCATTACATTTCATATGCCCGCATTAATAGCTCAACATGAGTCAAAATTGTATGATCTATAGAAAATGCTAATATATACATTCAGTAAAAGTTTCATGTATCCATATACTATATAGGTTCTGTTAATTGTTATATAGTTATACCAAAAATTAAAATCGGTTTCGTCAAAAACCGATTTTACGTAAAAAAATCCCGTTATTGCTTAATATTTTATTTGTTTTTCTCGGCGTTTTTGAAAACTCTTGGGAATTTTTGATTTTGAC